GGGTGCACTTATATACATGCAGGCAATACACTCTTACACATAAAATAAAAATAATAAAAAAAGAAAGAAATATGTGAAGACCGTGGAAATGCTAATCCATAGTCACAAACATGGGTAACATATGCTAAATATTATGAGTCTGTGGACATAGGTCATTGGTAGAGTACTTGCCTAGCATGTGTGAGGGCTAGGTTCAGTTCCCAGTAGTACACACACACACACACACACACACACACACACACACACACAATACCTCTCTCACACACAGACAGACACAAGATTTACTAAATAAGATATCAAAGTATTCACCATGGAACACAGATAAGACTAATGTGTATTAATTCATATAAAACTCAAATACTAAATTGCCGCCATCCTAAAATTCAAGGCAATTAGTTAGAATAAACTAACTAGAATAAACAGTTTAGTACCTAGACACTTGAAGATATTCTTCATGGAACACAATAAAGTAGAAACTTAGAAATATGACTACTTCAAAAATTATAACAAAAAGTGGAGGCCGAACAGTGAGTAGAAGACTAGAAATTGTAAACAAATCCTATATCAAATCTATTAAAAAGCATTTAAACTCTTGAGGAGGAAATTTTTTCTAGAAAAAAAGCCATGATATTGAAAAGAGTTCATCTTGGTTTTGTGTAAATGTAATAGTAACCTCAAAAAAGGGAGGGGGTATTTTACTAGTGTTCCTTTGGACTGTCAAGAGACATTGTCTGGGCTGGGGAGATAGCTCAGTCAGCCAAGTGCTTACTGTAAGGACCTGAGTCAGACACCCAGCACCATGTACAAAGTTGGGCATGCTAGCATCTGCCTGAAATCCTTGTGCTCGGGAGGTGGCGTTGGCTGGTTGGCTAGTCTTGTCAGTCAGTGATCTATGGGTTAGTGAGATCCTGTCTCAACAGATAAAGTGGAGCGTGATAGTGGAGGAAGATATCTAGCATTGACTCTGGCTTCCACATGCATATGTATGTGCATGTACCCACCCACACACATGCACACATGCACATACACCATACATATACACACAAAAAACCACATTCTTAATATAATTATGTTAATTACTTTGTCACTTTGACAAAATACATGTCAGAAGGCACGTGAAGGAGAAAGAATTTATTTTGGCTCAAGGTTTTAGGGATGGAAGTCCGCCATGGTGGGGAAGACATGACATGTCCTGTGTTAGTGGGAGTGTAAGACCACGGATCACACTGTGACAGCAGGCAGGAAGCAGAGAGCATGGGCTGAAGCCAGACGTGGAGGTCACCTTCAAGTCCTTCCTCAGTGACCCACATCTGCTAGATCTCACATCCCAAGGTTCTACAACCTCCCCAAACGGCGCCACCAGCAGGGTACTAGGTAGCCAAACACATGAATCTGAGGAGGACATTTCACATTCAAGCAACAAAAAGATTCTTACAAGTTAAAAAATATTAATATCTATTGGAAAAGAAAAAAGAAAATATCAAGTACTTTACAGAAAATAGAAATTAAAATGATGGCAACCACAAGAAAAAAATCTTCAATCTCACCAATAAAGAATTATAAGTTGAATAACTATATGCATTGCTAGAGGGATTATAAATTCACATATTCTTCTGAGGAGTGATTTGGCAGTGTATGAGAAAAACCTTAAATATAAAGCATAATTTTTTGGTCCAGTAATTCTAATTCTTGGCATTTTCTGATTGAAATAATTAAAGTTATGCGTAAATGATAATTATTGCTTTGATTTTTATAATAGTGAGAAATTAGGATCACATTAAATACCCAAATTGGGAACTCATTTAAATAAATTATAGAATATGTCAGGGGAAAAATATGCAAGAACTTAAAATAAGAATATTTAATAACCTGAGGGAAAGTTTGTGAAATACACAGTATTGTGAAATAGATAAAAAGTAGGCTATGTAGCATGTCTTGAAATAATGTAAAGAATGTGTGTGTTTAAATCTAGAATAGTATAAACAAAGATGTTAGCCCTGTTCATCTCTTCCCCACCCCATGAAAATATTTTCATCATTAAAAATATTTTATTATTATTTTTATGTGTATGATTGTATTGCCTGCATGTATGTAAGTGTACTTATGTCATTCAATGCCTACAGAAGTCAGAAGAGGCTGTCGGATCCCCTGGAACTGAGTTAGGACAGTTGTTAGCCGCCATGTGGGTGCTGGGAATTGAACCCGGGTCCTCTGCAAGAACAGTCAGTGCTCTTAACCGCTGAGCCACCTCTCCAGCCTGGGGAATCATTTTCTTTATAATAGCAGTAGCACAATTTTATTGTACAAATGTTCAGTTTGTACAAAGAGAAGAAAATAGAAAGTGAAAATACTTCATCCTATCCTCTTGGTATAACTTTAAAAATACATAATATTTCTATTGGATTTTGAGAATTTCTTACAATGTATTTTGCTCATAATCACTGTCCACTCCTCCCCTTTACTCCTCCAGGATCCACCCCCACCTCCCCTCCTCTCCCAACTTCATGTCTTATTTTTTGTAATAACCCATCTAGTTTGGTTTGTGTTGCCCACATGCTCCTGGGTGTGGGGCCATCCACTAGAGCATGGTGGACCTACTAGGAGTCATACAAACCCTTAAAAATAACTAATTCTCCCTCTCTTAGAAGCCACCAACTGATCTTCAGTTTGAAGTGGGGGTTCACGAACCCCTTCCCACTCCATGACAGAATAATGATTTGCTTGATCTTGTGAAGGTGTTGTACAAGTATCCACAGCTGCTGTGAGTTCATGATGCAGCTGTCCTAGGATGACTGGAAGATACTGTTTCAGTATGGCCCTCTCACAGCTCTGGGTTCTTACAGTCTCTCCAGTCTCTCCATGATGGTTCCTGAACCTTGGGGTGGCGGTGATACCAATGTCCCATTTGTGGCTGAGGGCTCCATAGATGCGTTTACGCTGTCCTTTTATCAGTTGTGAGTTTCTATGATAAGCACAAAGAAACATCTCTGATGAGGTCTGAGAGCTGCCCTCATCTATGAGTAGAGAAACATGAATTTAATGGGCAGTATGACACTATGTCCGTTTATCAGAATAATCATAATAGGTTTACTCCTGGGGCCTGTGAGCTCCCCAATCATGGGTTCTTGGCGAGATTTACAGTACCCAGGCATGTGTTTCCTCTCGTGGAAAGGGCCTTAAATACAACCCAGAAGTGGATCTTCCCATAACCTGTCACCATTGCACCCACGGGCTTTATTACAGTTCACATGGCTCACAGCTGGGTAAGACTGTTAATGACTCTACCCCCAGGAGCCTATGTAGCACCTTCTGTCACTATGAAAGCTAGCCAGCAGGGAGGAAACTTACTGGTCAGTCTCTTTGACCAAAGCCTGTGGCGTCTTCAGCATCAGGATCTTAATGTCAAGCTCTGGTGGTAATGAGCAATGGCAATAGCCTGTATAGTTTTGGGGGTCTAAGTCTGGTCACCTCTTAAGTGGTGGGTTTATGAGTGATTTTATTCTTTTCTGTATCTTGAAATTGTTTATAATTTATTAAGAAAATGTGTTGTTTTGACAGCATAATAGTGACAGATGTTTATAAAATATATATGGAGAGAGGAAGTTTTAAACAAATGCACACTGTGTTTAATGTTGCTTAACAGGAGTACAGATGATTGTTATTTTATATTTTTATATATTTTTCTTTACTTTGGTCATGTATTAGTTTTAAAACCATAAAGTTTAAGCAATAAATTTCTAAAATAAAGGAAAGAAGGAAGAAAAGGATTAATTTCTGCAAAACTCTAAAATAGTAGAAATAGGGATGGAGGGATGGCTCAGTGGTTAAGAGCACTGGCTGCTCTTGCAGAGGATCTGGGTTCAATTCCTAACACCCACAAGGTGGCTAACAACCATCCAATAACTCCAGTTCCAGGGGATCTGACACCCTCTTCTGACCTCCGTGAGCATTGCACAACACAGCTGCAGTTTTACACATGCAGGCAATACACTCATACACATAAAAATAATAAATACAATATTTTTTAAATAGTAAAAATGCTAAAGTATGTCATTTGCTCACTCACTAACTCATTTTTGAAATCACTGACATTAAATGACTACTAAGTGCCAGGTTCTGTCATCAGCCATGAGAACACAGTAGGTGATAAAATGCATGCTGCTCCCCTGGGCTTCTCAGTCTTGTGGGGAAAGTCTGACATTCTAGGAAAGTACGGGCAGCTAAGTAAAATTGCAAACTGGGAATGTATAGTTCACAAGAACAAGATCATATATGAATGTAAATATTTAAGAAAATGATTGTGAACAAAGGGTAGTTAGAAGAATAAGTAGAAAACATAAACAGATGAAAAGATATACTTGGGGAAAGAGCAGGAAGGAGAGAAAGATAATAAAGTCATTACTGTCTTCATAAGAAATTGGGACACGGTTGGGCTAGGAGTGTGGCTCAGTAGTAGAGTGTTTGTCTGGCATGTTCAAGGCCCTCTGTTGAATCCTTAGCACCTTGAAAGAAAGAAGGAAGAGGGGTGGAGGGGAAGGAGAAGGGGAAGGGAAGGAAGGAAGGAGGGAGGGAGGGAGGGAGTGAGGGAGGAAGGAAGGAAAAAAGAAGAAGGAAATAGAAAGTGGGAGGGAGGGAGGGAGGAAAAGAAAGGGAAGGAAAAGGAAGGAAGAAATGAAGGAAAGAAATTGGGATATACTTGTGTAATATTTTGATAACTTTAGAGTAACAGGGGATTGCAAAGATTTGTACTTAAGACAGAAATGGCATAAATGCAGTGTTCCTGAGACTTTGAGTTGTTATTTTAGTGGGAAAATATGGTAACTACAAATTCCAAATTTATGTGTGAATTAACCAATGCCAACAGGAAAACCCCTAACTGATTGTGTGATAATGTGTTGAGTCTTAGAAAATATCAGAATCTTTCCAATACCTTTGAAAGGCTTAATAGAATTTTTTTGTGGCCCAGATGCATACTCAAAGAAGAGATTTTTGTCTTTCAGCCTTAAATGAGCCCACCATTGACTATGGTTTCCAGAGACTGCAGAAAGTCATCCCGAGGCACCCAGGAGACCCTGAGAGATTAGCTAAGGTAAAACAAGCTGAAATTGGCATGTGAATACCTTTTTGTAGAAACTCAGCAAATTTAGACAAATCTAGTCATTTGAGTCCCATTAAAATTAATTAAGTCTTGAAACTGGTTATGCTTTCGATACAAAATGCACATAAAATTTCCACTAACTATGAAATGTATTATGTTTAATTTCTGAGGAAATATGAAATCTGAAAGTTTGGTCCTGTAAAACATACACTACAAGAATAGTCAGCTTATAAAACATCACCAACTTTATGAAAATAAATATTTGTGTAATTACTTAAAAATGTAAGTTTTCACTCCATTGTGTTTTATTATAATTCTATTTACCCCTAACTTCTGAGGCTCATCAATCTGTACTCAAGCATTCATGGAAACCCCACTGTGTTCACAATAATTTAATGATGATAAAATATCTCTATACAAAACTTTCACAAATTGTGTCACTTGTGAATGAACTAGCTTATGAAAATTTTTACCTTAAACATGGCCCATGATGCTAAACTTTCTTTATTTAAAAATAGATCAATTTATTAGTTGCCATTGGACCAAAAAGAAATTATTCAATTTTTTGTACATTTATATTTGTCTGTCAGACTTGCAACTTATAAAATGATGTTATTTATTCTGTACTGTGAATCAAGTTCAAGTACCAGTTACTTCTACAACACACCTTTATTTTCCTCCTGGAAAATCCCCAGCCCCCCCCCCCCATTAAATTAGATGATATCTGGAAAGTAGGTTAATAGCAATTTAAAAGGCTGTAAAAAACAGGAGGTGGAGAAGACAGAATGAGAGGAGAGGGATTAGCGATTGCTGATTCTTTCTGGTTAAAGTGAACAAGGGGAAGTATTATTGAAAGAATTCATCTTTATTAGAATAAAATTTTGCAGAAAACATCGCCAAGATAATTTCCATTTTCTGGACTACTTCTTGGCAGACAGCTAAACTCAGGGCCATCAATCACAATAAGAATATTTGATTAAGAATACCAGGATTTTTAAATACAGTGGTCCAAATAATTTTCAATACAATATCCATTATGTTATCAATGTTAAGCAACTTCCCCCTCAATTTGGTGGGGTTTTTTAATTTTAATTTTTTTTGAGTAGCATAAACCATTATGGGGCTATTGTAGAGTGGTGAATTTCTATAGCTATGTTTGTAGGATTTGCATATATGATTATATTCTATTTGTCAAACCTAATGTCAGACTTCTTGGCTTATTATTTTCATTTGGGTATAATGTGTGGATGTCTCATTTTCATATCTAATTTTCTCAAGTTCGCTGTTTGGGGTTTAATCTTTGTACTCTATTCCATCCTTTCTTTTCTAGGAAATGCTGTTGAAAAGAGCTGCAGACCTAGTGGAAGCCCTCTACGGCACACCCCACAATAACCAGGTTAGATACATGCATCTTACACTCTACTGAGTCTGACTCTTGATTCTGGAAACAGTGCTCACTCTGATGTGCCTTCCATAGGACATCATTTTGAAGCGTGCTGCAGATATTGCTGAAGCTCTGTACAGTGTCCCCAGAAACCCCAGCCAGATTCCAGCTCTCTCCAGCTCCCCAGCTCACAGTGGCATGATGGGCATCAACTCTTATGGCAGCCAGCTCGGGGTCAGCATCTCAGAGTCCACACAAGGAAATAACCAAGGTACTGACTTGCCTGAGAGTCAAAATTCAAATAGTGCTCCTCCCATTCAAAAAACCACCCCAGCTAGAGTAGGAGGAGTTAGAGGGCCTGCCATAAACCATCCAACAGAGCATGCCCCTAGATAAGCCCCACCATCAGTTATTTCAATGTTACAGGTTATATATTGTTAGATTCTGAGCTCTCTGGGTACCAGGAAGAATTCCTTTGGCTAGAAATATTAAGGTATCTCATAACCTTTATGATAAGTTGACTTATAAATTACAAAGGGTATAGAAATAAGGGTTACAGCTACTAATTGAATAAATTTTCTACTGTTGGTATTGTGATAATCAGATTGAACAACAGAACGATCTGATGGCCACCAGCATCATCCATTCCATACAAACTTCCTTCTTGGTAACCAAGAGTAATGGCTTAGTTTTACTTGGTAAACTAAGTTTTACTTGGTAACTTCCATTATGTGTTTTCTTGTATTTATATTTATATGTATTTATGGCAACTTATTTAGTTCGTTGTACTGTACTTCATATGGGTATACTGCATAAAGATTTTTTTTCCCTGAGGTTGATTTTATTATTAAAAGAATTAGCTCTTATAAATAATAATTTTTTTTGAAAAGAGGAAATTTTCCAAATAATGTCTTAACTTCAAGGTACTTTTATTTATAATTTTATTCATCCACTGGAAGAGAATTCCTCATTATTTTTCCCAGAGTCAGGTCTTCTTACAAAGAGTAGGTAGAGCATATCGCTCATTTATTTATTTTTGAAATTTTATTTATTTATTTTTATTTTATGTGTATGAGTGTTTTGCCTGCATGTTGTGTAGTGTCCATGGAAGTCAGAAGAGGACATCGGATCCCCTGGAACTGGAATTATGGGTGGTTTGTTAGCCGCCATGTGGGTGTTGGGATTCAAATCCAAGTCTTCCGTAAGGGCAGCCCATGCCCTTTCTGCTGAGCCATCTCTCTAGCCCCATATACTACTTTTTTTTTAAAAAAGACATTGACCCATAGACAGAGTATTTTTTTTTCCTTTTGATGTTTGATGATATTATTTAGATTGTTTTTTAATTTTATGCTTGTTTATTGGTTTATTTGGTTGGTTGAATGAAGCGGGGACAAGCTAATAGTCCATGCTGGCCTCAAACTCATTATGTAGCCCAGGCGAATTTAAACTTGTGTTGATCCTCCTGCCTCAGTTTCTCAAGTACCTGGATTATAGACATAAACCACTATGCTCAGAATTTTTATATATGTGTATGTATACATTACTAATGTATATATACATTACATGTAATATGTATACATATCCATACATGAGACTCTAGCTCCTGTGTGCGTGTGTGTTGTGTGTGTGTGTGTGTGTGTGTGTGTGTGTGTGTGCTCTAGGTTGGTTCTTTTCAATAGCTGTGACAAAACACTCTGACCAGGGAGGAAAGGGTTTATTTGGCTCACATCTCCTGGGTCACAGTTCATCACTGAGGGAGCCCAAGGCAGGAACTCAGGACAGGAACCTGGAGACAGGAGCTGGAGTACAGGCCATGGAGGAACACTACTTACTGGCTTGTTCTCTTGGCCCATGCTCAACCTATTTATTTATACAACACAGAACAACCCGCTCAGGGGTTGGCACCACCCACAGAGGGGTGGGCCCTCTCACATTACAAAAAGTCAAGAAAATACCTCAAAGACAGGGCCACAGGCCAGTCCAATGGAGGCAATTCCCCAACTCAGGCTCCTTCTACCCAGGTGTATCAAGCATAGTATGTATATATGTATATCAGAGCTGGAGCTTGGATTCAGGGCCTTGCCCATGCTAGGCAAATGCTCTACCACTGAGCTGTAGACCTAGCTCTAATTAGTTTTAGAGACAGGCATCCCCCAGGCTTATTGTAGAACAGATGTAATGATGCTGACTCTGTGACCAGCTTTTAGAAACATGAGGAGACTCCTCATCCCTCCTCCTGCTCGTGACCTAAGTGCCCACACTCAGGTGCTGATGCCTCAGATCCTGGGTCAGTGTGGTTCAATGTGCCCCTCAGTAATGCTTTCTGATAGAAAATGATCTCCAACCCCAAGTGGAAAATGGTGACAACTTTGCAGTAACATTTCCAAAACTGTTCAATAGAATGCAAATGGCCTCCAAAATGTTGCTAGGATGCCTGTTTCCACCCCCAGAAAAGATGCTATGGTGTGTTAAGTCTGTGAAATACTAAATTGGCAAGCTTAGATCAGGATATTTATTCCTCAGGCCTGTTATTTACAAATCTTTAAGAAATGGCTACTATGGTGCATAGCGTCTACCCAGCTTTACTTGGCCACTGAATGCTGCTTTTCTCAAAGAGCAATTAATAGCTTACAGAACTCTGGAGTCCAATGACGTGTAGCTTGGGAGATGCTCTCACACAGCTTCATGCTTGAGTGAGTTAGAGATGTGGAAAGCTGGGCAGGGTAGGGCACACCTATAATCCCAGCACTTGGGAAGCAGGAGGACTGAGACTTCCAGGGTTACTTAGCAAGTTCTAAGCCAGCCTCAGAAACATAGTGAGGCCCTGCCTCAAAGTAAAATATAAACTAAACTAAAACAAAACAATATAAAATGAAATAAAAGGAAGAGGGAGGTGGGTATCAGGGTGTGGCCTGTGTCAAATAGGGGTGAACAAAAGAGGCAGAAGAAGCTGAGGGCTTGGTTATGAGGTACCAAAATCCCGTTAGATAAGAAGATTAAGTTCTGGGCTGGAGAGATGCCTCAGTGGTTAAGAGCACTGCCTGTTTTTGCAGAAGACTGGGGTTTGGTTCCCAGGAGCCACCATGGCAGCTAACAACCATCTGTAACTCCAATTCCAGGGGATCCAACACCCTCTTCTGACCTCTGTGGGCATTGCAAAACACAGATGCACTTTACATACGTGCAGGCAATACACTCATACACATAAATTAAAATAATAAATAATTTTTTTTTTAAATTTATTTTATGTGCTGTTAACTACTGAGCCATCTCTCCAGCCCATAAATAAAATATTTTTTTTTGAAAAAGAGGATAAGTTCCAGCATTCTAGAGTATAGTCAGGTGATACTAATTCACAATAGTTTATCATGTGTTTCCAAATAGGTAGAGCTCAAGGTTTTGAATGTTTCCACTACCAGGAAATGATAAACGTTTGAAGCAATAAATATTTCGTCTAATCTGATCATCACATATTGTATGTATCAAAAATATCTCACTGTGCTATGGGGATGAACAATCATTACACGTCAATTGAAAATAAAAACTGCAAATAAACTGCCACTTCCCACTATTGCTTGGTGGTGGTGACATTACGGTCTAGGACCCATGTGGATGAACACCAACCACATGTGGCCAGTTGTGCGTACTGCTTTATTTACCTGGCCTGTTTCTTCATTGTCAAGGATACATCCGCAACACAAGCAGCATCTCCCCGAGGGGGTATTCCTCCAGCTCTACGCCGCAGCAGTCTAATTACAGCACCTCCAGTAACAGCATGAATGGCTACAGCAATGTCCCCATGGCCAACCTGGGTGTGCCAGGATCCCCGGGATTTCTGAACGGCTCACCCACGGGCTCCCCGTATGGAAGTAAGTGACCTTTGCTATCCATCTGCACACCCAGCCTCATTGAAAGATTTCAGTGTGCAGCCTTTTAGGGGAGATCTGCATTCCTAAATGTCATGGGCACATGGGGGACAGCCCCATTTCCTGATGAAATGTTCTTCCTGCCCTGAACTTGAACTCTCCAGTCACTCAAGTCCCGATGGAGAAAGAAAGGGAATGAAACCTTGTGAAGTGTGTGTGGCTTGTTTCTGGAGAGGAGATGAATTAAGATTCTAGTTCAGCTAACACTATTGCAGTCTCCACTGGCTATTTTCTGATGCAGCATTAGTTACTTTTCTGTTGCTGTGATAAGACACCAGGACCAAGGCAGCTGATAGAAGGAAGAGTTTATTTGAGCTGACAGTTCACAGGGTTAGAGTCCATAATGGCAGGGAGGCATGGTAATGGCGGGGAAGCATGGTGGCAGAGGTGGCCAGAGCAGAAAGCCGAGCCACCACAATTTCAAGCAGGCACAGGAAGCAGAGACTGGAAATCCAGCAAAGCTTAAGAACTTCCAAAGCCCACCCCTCAGTGACATGCTTCCTCCAGCATGGCCACACCTCCTAAAGGCTCCATGACTCTTCCCCAAACTGGGGACTAAGTGTCCAAATACTTGGAACGTACAGGGGACATTCTCATTCAAACCACCACACAGTGTTTCATTTTTTTCTGCCTAAGATCCTTCTGAGACTAATATTACAGGCAAAGAAGTTTGGATGAAGCAGTTACTCAGCTCATCCACTATCACATAGTTAGAGTGTTGCAGGCGATGACAGGCACAGAATTGATGGCTTTGGGTAAGCTCTCCCCCACTACAGTTTCTTACATATAATGTACCTTGGCCATACCCTCCCATCCCTTCTTATCCCCTTTCCTCTCCCACCAAACCCCTTCTCAACAAGAGCCCTCCTATGCTCATGTCTTTTTATTTATTTGTGAACCACTGCATTTAATTAGGGTTGCCTTCATGAGCATGGGTGTGGGGTTATTCTCTTGGGCAAGGGCATTGTACCAGTGGCTATACCACTAAAGAATATGACTCCCCCTCCCCCAGCAACCATTACTAGCCTAAATCTCCTCGGGGAGGGTCCTAAACAGGACACCTGCATCATGCTTCTTTTGCCTTTGTGACATTGCTCTGTCCTCCACCAAGCACCTCCAGAGAGGCGGAAGTTGACTGCCGATAGCAGCTGTATTGACATGGAACCCCTCAGTTTTCATCTATGGCCCAGCAGCAAAGTCAGTGTGCTGAGCAATTGTGAAAACCCATCTGGGTTGCTTTGAGAGCTAAGCTGGGAACTTACACAATGGTCCCAGGAGCCTGAGAGAGTGTGTGTTTTTCCAAACCTACTCAGGGAATACTTGAGGCCAGGGGACATGCAGACATGGAGAGCCAAGTGATTGAGTAGAGTGTTCTTGAAATGCTGGCAGTTGTCGCAAGGCCCACAGCTTGCCCTCTGTTCACCCAGAGTGGCTCCCTCGTGCCAGGAACAAGGACATGTCAAGGACAGCTCACAGCTCTGTCAGCCACAGCTCAGGAAGCATCAGGCCTCCGAGGCTGCCTCTCCCTGTCTTTGGGCCTTTGCTTCCCAGGGGACACACACTCCTGAGTTATTTCTGGGTTATGTGTTTCAGTCACACAGTCAACATTGCGTGGTGGGATAGGGTACAGCACCAAGTAGCAGAATGTAGCACAGATTGTTTCCTTCAGCACAACTCACATTTTGTGACTATAAGTCCTATGTGTGTCTTGTCACATGGCCCAGACTCATTGGAGCAGAGTCTATGTAAATAAAACATTTTGTTGATGGATTGGTTTTTTTTCTCTACTTGCTTTTAACCTTATCTTGTTCCAAAAACGTTTGGAGGAATGATAATAACCAAATAGGTAGTATAAATGTGCAAGATGGAAACTAATGGGAAACTGAGGTCAGAGGGGGAAAAGTGTATTCAAAAAGCTGGATCAGGGGCTGTAGAGATGGCTCAGTGGTTAAGAACACTGGTTGTTCTTGCAGAAGACCTAGGTTCCAATCCCAGCACCCACATGGCAGCTAACAACTGTCCGTAACTCCACTTCCAGGGGATCCGACAGCCTCTTCTGTCCTCCGTGGGCATTACATGAGGTGGATGCACTTACTTATATGAGGCAATACACTCATACACAAAAAATAAAAATAATAAATAAAATTTTTTAAAAATTTAAAAAAAGCTGGATCAGCCTTAGGACAAGCATTGACTCCATTCTAGTGAAGGAGCCATTAAGTTGTCTTCAAGTTTACAAAACCTAAAGCAAAGAAGTTCTATGACGCTCCATTTGTATATTGCCTTGTTAAGGAGCTCAGAAGACATGCACAGGGCAGCTGCGGACCTCGAGGAGGTTTGTCCCACACTTCATGATAAATGAGGTGCCCTCTGTGACATCAAGGCTGCCCCTTTCCCAATCCCCACATCAGGCTGGCATGAGAGATCTACCATATGAATGATGCTTCATGATGATGACAATAATTAGAGTGACTCACAGCAGTTCCCATATTCCTCGGTGTAAAGACATGTCCCAGTCCAGAGCCCGTCAGATCTTCGTAACCACTTTGTGTCACAAATATAATAATGATTATTACCAATTTCTCTTGTAAGAGATGAGGAGCTGTTAAATGCCCTGTTCAAAGAGTCACAGACAATAAATGGCCAAAAGGGGCTAGAATACCTATCATCAGACCCAGAATACTGTGCTTTAAAATTACTCAATAATAAATATATTGAGCTTATTTACAATGCATCATTAGGCTGAAGCATATGAAATTGCCTCCATCTGACCATTTATTTAAAATTTTTATTACATTTATTTTATTTGTCTGTGTGTGTATACATGCATATATACCATAACCTACATATGGAGGTCAGAGTCAACTCTCTCCTTCCACCATGTGGGCCTCAAGGATCAAAATCACATTGTCAGGTTTGATGGCAAGTTCTTTTACCCACTGATCCATCTTGCTGGCCCCTTCTGGCCATTTTCGGGCTACAGAAAATCATAGTTTCATGAGGTTATATCACATGCTCATGTATATAACAAGTTGAACATACAAATAGTTATTTTTGTAGATTTGAAAGTCTAATAATATAGTGTATCACATGGAGTCATGAAAGTGTAAAAATATAGTGTGTCACACGGAGAGAGTGGGGAGAGAGAGAGAGAGAGAGAGAGAGAGAGAGAGAGAGAGAGAGATGACAGTGCCAAGCTGTATGTTATTTGCTTGATATTTCTTCCAGGGGGGAAGAATTCTGCCCATCCCAAAAGTAACTTCAGAAAAACAGCAACACCCCAAGTCTAGGTCGCCCCTAAAATAAGACAGTTGGTATACACTTCTGTGAGAGAGTAGAAGGGACCCTGCCCAATAGGGAACAGGGAGACCCTCAGAGCACCCACTCCTTGTCCCTGCTGTTCTAGAAGTGACCTTTGATTCGGAGGGAGAGACTGAGGGAGTTGCAAACAGAGACTAGGATTCCAAGCAGTGCGTTCATTACAGTCAAATTCTCCTGCTGCAACCCGCCCCACCCCCAATACCCAGTAGAGTTCATTACAATAGCACCTGACCTGCATTTCTAACCAACGAGGTCTTCACTTCTCTGGGAAATATTTTTTAAAAGCCCAGGGGAAAACATTTTGTCAGTTCAGTTGCTGTTTCTGAAAACACAATTCTATGATTTTTTTTTTTTTTTTACTTTTTTTTTTTTCTTAAAATGAGCCTGATGTGGCTGGGCCATGCCAGTGGGGCAATGGCTCACCAGAGACATTAAGAAAGCAACAGAGCCCAAGCTCTGTGGTCAGGTTTGCCTTGCATTACAGCCTGTGCAAAGACTCAAACGCCCCGCATCTTCCCTGTGTTCACGCTCACACGCCTTCAAAAATGGCCAAACAGATGTTTTTCCAATTTCACACACAAACCTCACTTCCTGGCGGTAGCTGTGTGTGCCAAGTTCCAGCTCAGAGCAAGTTTTTATGGCTGGATTCTAAGCCCCTGACAATAGGGGGTTCTAATGAGATGCTGACAGACCCTTGAGTGCCAGCAGTTTCAGTGGTGGATACAGATGCGAAGGAGGGTCTGTGCCCGTGAGCTCCAGCTGGGGCTGATCTGGCCAATCCATCCTTGTAAGAAGAAAAGTCGTTTTTCTTTAACTCCCCATGTTCACATAGATTTCTGGGCCAGATGTGCTTGCCTTTGGTTTGGCCTTTCTCCACAGATGGATAGATGTCCAGAGACACTCTCAATTGGAAGTCCGTGTGATCAGCATTCTTAAAATGGTGCACTCCAGCTATCCCCAAACATGGTTCACTCAATAAGCCTGCAGCGCCCATGGGGACCAAGGCTTCCAACCAAGCAGAAGAACCATCAAGCCAACTCAAAGTTTGGGACAGAATCCATACAGGCAGGAATCCAACCTACTTCACTTACAGAGTCATAGACCATGCCCTGGGCGTCAGTATTTTTATATTTTCAGAAATAAATATTAAGACATTTTTCTATTGTAGAATATTAAATACTGTTATAAAAAATGCCAAACATATGGAAATAGTGTTTAAAAGAGCTGACCACCTCCCTGAGAAAAATAAGCTCAAAATTATTTTAAATTTATATTTTATGCGTATGAGTATTTTACCTGCATGTATGAAGGTGCATCCCATGTATGCAATGCTCATGGGACCCAGAAAAGGATGTTGAGCCCCCTGGAACTGGAGTTATGGATGGTTATTAGTTACCATGTGCATGTTGGGAACTGAACGTGGGTCTTCTGCAAGAGCAGTCAGTCAGTGCTCTTGACCACTGAGACATCTCTCCAACATTTTGAAAAGCATGTATAGGCAAAAAAGAAGGGAAAGGTGACACCCTCTATCCATGCAGAGACAGACACTGTTATGTTTTTCAGTAATGGTAGTTAAACCCAGGGCCTTGTGCATGCTGGGCAAGTACTCTATCACTGAATAA